AACCCAAGTCGATTCCGGTTATCATTTCATGTAAAATTATGTGAAAAATTAATTGTTTATTAGGAAAAAGTGCCCTAAATTAAAGTTCCGAATTGAGTTCAAGTCAACCTGAAATCAACCCGACTTCCCCCTAAAATTAACTCAAGTCGATTTGAATCGTGCCTATTGGTCGGGTAATATGCCCAATCCTAGTTTCCGTCATTATCATTGACCAACCAGCTCCTATTAAAAGTTCAAAACTAAATTGTTAACGGAACAATAAGTTGAGGACCAATAGTACAATTTTTACCTGTTAGAGTCAAATGTAGAATCCCTTGCAATTCTGTCCTTTACTAGTTCTTGAAGATTCTTAAAATATATATATGTATTGAATAATCACTCTTTATATGGGGGGAAAATTGAAAGGGATAATACAGTAAATAATAATTCAAAATGAACTGTAGTAATTATGACAACAAGAAAAAGAAATAACATTGAATATATGGATATGTGATTGACAATTGAAGACAATTTATTTATTTCTCTCTGATTAATGACTTCTATTAATTATTACATTTGAGAAAATTGTTCCTTATAAAATGTTGGTGTCAACTAGAACTGTCAATGAATTGAATTTTGATCCGAATCCGATGAAATTAACGGGAGATCGATTTAATGTTCCAATCCGATTAAGATCCAAATTCGATAATTCGTTAACTAAATGGAGTAAATATGAATATATGTCGATCCGATCCGATTTATTATAATAATATTATATATTATATATATTATATCATAATTTATTAAACATAATTTTTTCCATTTTGAAACTTATATTATACTTTACGCATAATTTTCAAATAATAAATAATATTAGATAATAGTATAATATTTTCTCTTGAAATATTCAAAGAGGTTTAATTTTTTATTAATTAAAATAAGATAAAAATAACCATAGTAATTTGTTTTATAACATCAAAACTAATAATTAATATATCCAAAAATAATTTACTTTGTTAAAATTGATATTGTTTTTTATTTAATTTTGTTAAGGCTATGATTTTTAGTGAAAATAATAAAATAAACTAGTAAATATTTAGAATTGACAATTGAGTAATATCCCACGTTGAAAGACCACTAAAACATTTGAAGAAAAGTACCCTTTAAAAATGTAGTATCCCACATAGGAAAATTATTAAAACGTTCCAAGAGAAATCTTCTTTAAAAGGAACTAAAGAAGTATCACTTGGATAAAAAATTGATTTGAGTCTTCTAGTATATTAAGTAAACCCATCAAGATAGTTATAAAAAAAAAATTGGGAAAAAATTGGTGAAAAAAAATTTGGATCGGATTATCGGATCAAATATCCGATAACATAGCAAATTGGATATGAATTTAACAATCAAATATCCGTTGGATTATCGGATCGGATTGGATAATTTTTCTTAAGGATCGGATCGGATTTGAGCAGATCCACTCCATATCCGATCCATTGACAGCCCTAGTGTCAACTGGCAGTAGAACCAACCTCTTGGCTTGATTTTCAATTTGCAAAAAACTTAATTTTTATTTTTCCACATTTACACATGTTGCGTGTTGGTATTAAATCTAAAGTGATGCAAGTCACATAAAACCTATGACACATCATGTGACTTGTAAAACACACAGATTTCTCATCGTCCAACCTGACCAAGTTCGACCATTATAGATCAAGCAAGTCAAGAGTTTGTAAGGCCATTCAACAAAATAAATTTTCCCAAGCACTTTATCAAAGCCAACACGCTCATCAATCTACTCAAGACGGGAGAGAAACTTACGAGATACTTAAAAAGTAACAAAATACTTTTGCGCATCACTAGTTCACAACATAAAATATGCTACATCAAAAGAGAGATCTGTTCTCGTGTAAATAATCTCAATCCTTGTAAAAGAAAGTGACATTTAACTCGTACACAGTAAGCATGCAATTCTAATAGCGCACACAATAAATTACTAATACGAATTCAACATTCGAGCTCATGATTTTTCAGATTAGATAACAATATTGCTAAATATACACTCCTTCCTTTATATTCTTTTTGACATTGCTTTTGCTTTTTGAAAAATGTGACCAAGAAAACTATATTTTTTAAACAATCCAATAATATCTTGTCACGCGGCACAATGTAAAGAAAGATGTAAAAGATGATATACATATAACGTGATTAATTAGGTAATCCATTTGAGTAACAAGAGAGTTCATCACTAACTATCAAGTCACAGCTAAGATGCCGTACATGACTATCATTATAAGGAGCTGGTGACATCTTTTATCACATTTAAGCGTCGAACCAAACATATTTTAATAAAAAAAAAATATCTACATTTTGAGCCTAACCACTCAAGTCACAAATGACATTTCAACAAATGCTGATAAACATAATGATATGTATGTATATATAATAAGCCTAACACTCAAATTTTTTGTTGTGATCTTCACCAGGATAAAATTTGAATGGTCCATGCTTGGCATTTATTTATACAACTGCTTCTGCCCTGTTGCAACTATAAATCTCTTCTAACTCACATCTAAATTGAATCGTCAACATATTCTTCTCTAGTATTATATTTTGAGATATGGATCTCCAACATTTCGGGTTCATAACACTTGAATCTCGCCAAACTATTCTAGCATTTACTATTGAATTAATCTACTTGAACCAAATGTCTTACCTAATTTTTGACCGAATTGACAAGTGACGCCCCCCTATTGGAGGGGCACCTATCCATTCCAATAAGGGCACGACACTTGTTAATTCGGTCATTCATTTGGTAAATGATTTGGTACATATAGCATCTCCCTTTACTATTAAAACTAATTGTTATTAAATACAACGGGAAATAGGATAAACTCTAACATAAATTTTCAGAATGAAGACCAGGAAAAAGAATTGGTTCAGTGTATTGAAGTAAATATCATGGTTGATCCTATCATGCCAACTAAGTCAATAGATCATTATCCAAAGATTAAGTAATAAAAAGAACTCACAACAGTAACTAAGTTTCTTCACACTTTTTAATGTTTCGTCTACAAATGTATATACGTAAATTCATATATACAATATCCGATCTTTCTGGAAAAAATGAAAAAGGAATTGTGAAGGCAAAAGGAACAACAAAAAAGAAACATTTGTTAGATTTTCTCTTTAGGCGAGCCATGTGTGTCTAGTTGGGGTTGATGGATTAAAAGCAATTAGGGAAGAGGTCGAAAGAGTGGTTAAAAAGGGAAGAAAGGGATGAACACAACATATTCATGTACTCTTATCCAATTATGCTCTCTCTTCTGGATCGAAATTCATATTTTAACATTAACCCAAAAATAATTTTAAAAAAAAAATCTTTTTAGATAACTCGAATAAAACGTAAAATTTAATTGCTAACTTAATTTCGAATCAATTTAATTGTAATGCTAAATCCGGAAACCAAAGAATAATACCTTCTGAGCCGTGACCAGACTAAACTATACAAAATTCAATTTCATCAAGCTAATGTTAGTTAAACACGAGTACTTACACGATTTCTGAATATAATTAAAAAAATGCTATTTGATGGTTTTTTTTTTTTTTTATAAAGGAAAGGATAATAGAATAGCTTATCTTCAGTTACACATTGCTTCCAAGGAAGGAGTCTTCAAACTGCAGAAAGGTAGGCAGATTAATTTTGAAACCAAAAGATAACTACAAAAAAGGCACATTCCAAAGTTATGACAAAGCCTTCAGATTGTCTCCACATAATGAAGCAACTCATAATGAATAGAAAGTACTAGGTTTAAAATATAAAAAATAAAAAATAAATCTTTTGGGTTTGAATGGAGAAAATTCCCTTACACAAATGGTCAAGTAGCTCAAAAATAATCTAATAATATTAGGAAAGAGTAAGAGCGAAAAATGAATTTTCAAAAGATATAATACAAATGCTCTATGAACAACCCCAAATGCATCAGAAAAGATTTTATACTGCTTAATACAATAAAGTAACCAATAAATTGGTTTTTCAGCATGAATCTTTACAAATGAACAAAATATTCATGGATAAAAAGATTGAACCTTGATTACCCGAGACTTGATCTTAGGCCAGATGCCAATCTTCCACCTAGCCTCGTCTTTCTTTCTGGACAAGAAACGTGGGAAGTCCAATATATACCAAGCCGATCAAACAACCCACCCCACTACAAAAAAGCACAAGTACGTGTTGAGCAAATAACAATGCCATCAACAAAAGAGCAGGCATCCAAAGCGGGAACAAACAGAAACAGTAAGTGCCACATTATGGATGGTGCGAGGAGGTTACTGTATCCCAGACTTCCCCGTTCTGGAATGAGAAGAAAATTCCACGGAGGCTCTTTGGAGGTAAAGCAGCAAGTTTGGCCAGATGGATATGATATCAACCTTCCATCAAAGCCGTTTCAATTTCTGATAATGGAGCTGCAACAGAATGCAATGGAATTATAGATAGGTAAAGACGAGAACAACAAAAATGCAATAATGTGAAAGACTTGCAGAAAACAAGAAAAAGAAAAAAGTTGAACAACTGCTAAACATTGTTGCGTGTCGGAAGAAAACAGTTTTACAATTTGAAGGAAAAAATCAAAGTTAGATAAACTGCAAGCAACTTGACTCGTCACCCACCTAATACAGAAACAAAGAAGAGGCGGAAAAATATTGGCTCTAACTTCACTACAAAAAGGAAGCCACAGAATTCCAACAGCTGGAAGCACCTTTCAGGATACTAGTTCTTTGCAATTTTTACATTTTCTCCTCCGGTACAGATGGAAGCACCTTTCAGGATACTAATTCTTTGCAATCTTTTAAATTTTCTCCTCCGGTGGTGGAGAATTTAAAATTGCTTTTCAAGGGCTGAAGTAACACGTGGTTAGCTAACAGGCAGCTAAGAATACACCACATTTCCCTGAAGCGCCATCTTAGCATCAGGAAGTTCCATTTGATAACCATGTTCTAAAAGAATGATTTCTACACTACACCTGCTCATATCATATGTTCCAGGTAAATTATCCAAAGGCACATAGACAAGTCAAGCGTCCATAGAAGCAAGCCAGTAACCAACAATAGCTTATCAAACAAGCTCGATATATTTTCGGAAAGGAAAAATAAATAAATCTAGCCCAAAAAGGACTGACAAAGTTCACATCAACATACCAAGCAAATCCTCGTACGTATCTGCAAATAGTGAAGTGTCTAGTAGCAAAGGAGGTGAGAAAATTTGATCTTGAGTTTCATCCATGTCATAAAATGATCTATGTGCATCAGAAACTGAAGAATTTGAACCAATGGCAGAGAGGAAGCCTTTGACACTGTCAAAGTCGTTGAGTGAATCCAAATCATTTAACATGTAACTGATTCCATTATACTTGCCCCCAAAATGATTGTCTGGAGCACAAGCCTCAAGCAAGGAAGGATCTGTTTGAGCTGTGAATAATTGTCTACTTTTCAGTGAATTAGGCTTCTTCTCTTGGTCAAGACGGGAAAGCCCAGACCCTGGAAGCGGTACAAAGAAGTGTTCAGAGCTATCATCAGAACGGCTGTCTTGGGAAGACTCCAAGTTATAGGATTGAGATGAAAGAGCAGCTTCTCTAACAGATCTCTTCAAGTTTTGGAGGAAAAAATGATCATCATCTGCTGAAACAGGGACAAATAGAATATAAACTCAACATAAAGAACGCGTAATTAAACCATGCATGTATAAGATAGGAACTGCGGAATAAACACAAACCATGTGGTGGGTTATCTATATTATTCTTTGAAAGAGGCTGTTCCACAGACTTCTTGTCAGAAATATTTTCCACTTGATTAATTTGAGGTATAGCATGACGTTTTTGCATGTTCCCACTTTTTCCAGAAGAATTTGGCGCGGAGCTAAACAGTGGTGGCAATTTTAAAGCAGGGGGGCTAGCTGATGCCTTTTCAAGCTGCAAAGATGATAATCTTGAGGTCATCTCGGCAAAATCATCAAGAACACTTTCCTGGCCATTAAAATAATTTTATCAGGAGCAATCTGAGCAGCTCAGCAAAATCATGAGTTTGTGTTCTACAGAAAATGATTCGAACAAAATTGAAAGAGAGAAATACCAATATCCTTCCACTGCCCTGTGCCTGGATAGGCGAGTTCAATCTGCTATGTTGTTTACTCACAGAGGGGAGATGGGATGATATACTGTTAACTTCCTCTGTAAGCTCTGAGATTGAATTCTGTATGGACGGAGCAACATCCTTCAGTTGATCGATTAGCACCTGCAAAAATCCCAACTCTTAAGAAAAAGTTTCAATAGGAGACATCTGACTTAGCCACACCACTATATCCAATTATAGAATAAAAGCTTCAGAAGTTTTAACTTAAAACCTTGTTCATCACCCTCTGGTGAAAGTTTCAAGGTACATCCACTATTAGATTGACCTTCTAACCTCTTCAATGGGACCACAGTGCGTAGGTAAATAAATTCATTACTCACCTGTATGCTATCCAGATGCTGCTTATGTTCAACAAGTGCTGCAGCCAAAGACTCGGCATGACTAGGGGTACCACCATTATGCATACTTCGTAGGAGCTCTGGACCCTCTCCATCATTCGCTTTTGCCTAGGAAAATCATAATGTGATAAAGATCAGCATGCTGTTTGTAGATGAATTTAAAGTTGAGAAATGATATTACAATATATTAGGAGCAAAAATCTTCACATCAACACAGCTAAGTTTAAAGGAGCTTTTTGACTGTTCAAGTAAGAATATTTCACAAACCTAAATGATAAGAACAAGTTAAATTTCAAGACACTTTGTTATAAAAATACATGATACAAGTGAAAGATGATGACTTCCTTTACAAACCAACAGTGTAGTATTGGTGCACCACAAGTGACAGACAATAGTATGGGTCAATTTAGCTAATCAAGGATAAATGTGTGCATCTAGGTCAAGAAAGAAAGCAATGATACTTGATATTTTACCATGACTAGTAGATATGAAGCGTAGGAAGAGAGTCAATGTAGCTTGCAAAGAATAGAAAAATAGGTCAAAGGTAAAACAATTGAAGGACACGGGATGACATGATATAAACTTTAGTATATATGGATAAATTGGACCTCTCCATAAATGAGTACCATATTAAATAAAATCAGGAAAAAGTATTCAAGAGGGAAAACTCAAATTTATTAAAAATAAGGCTTAGCTTGTTTTGGTACTATGCAATAACAATGTTTGCTCGTAGCCAGAATGTTATGCCAAAAGTGGGTAAGATAAATGGCTCAATTTTTTGATATCCATTTTTCACCCAGCACAATATCTCCTTATCAAAGGTTATTTCAGACTTAAGCCTGCACACCACCAGAAGAGGGCATTTACCGCATTCCACGGAAAAGGTTCATGAACACAATTACTGATAAGGAAAAATGACTGGATCATCACCAGCCAGAGCACTGATAAATACAAGCATCCACAGAATTTAAGTTGTTATCAACCAGAGCAAAATTCCTTGATCAGCACAAAACAACATACCAATTGCAGTGATTGTTTGTGTATGCGTTGTAGGGCATGTGTCCAACGCCTCAAAACTTCTGCTATATCAACAGTTGGCTGCCCTCTCACGCTTCTTTCATCTACTTGAGATTTTTTTCCATCGTTTCCTTGAGCATAGGAATAATCTAATTTAAATTCGTTCTTCTCTTTGTTTACATTTTCTTTCAGACCATCAATTTCCCCATTATTGAGGTGTGACGGAGGTTGATTAGCAGATGGAACTAGAGAGCTTTGATCCATTGCTGCCAACAAAGATGAACCGGAGATGCGATACCTGGAACAGAATGTCAAACATTAAGTCAGTCGCTATAGACAATTGGTATCGGATAGAACCAAAAAGCATGTAGAGGACATTACCTATGCTCACGATGAGCTATAAGATCCTCAATAGGGCCTGACGCGAGAACTTCATGTTGACCTATATAGAAATTATGTATGTATTAAGGACCACGCTCAGTGTTGTATGCCATCATCAAACTTCATCGGTAATATTTAGTTGAAGATGCTAAATGAAAAACCGGGGATTACAATTATAGATAAGATTCGATTAGATTTCCCCAAAAAAAAAAAGAGGATAACAATGGTATAAACAGAGTGAGAACCACTTAGACAAATGCAAATTGCCTGAGAAAATTACAAGAGAAATTTTCAATTTTTCAGTCAAACCAGCATTGAAGTAACAGTAGGCATGACATATCAGAGAAGTACATCAGGCAGTGCTTGAAGATCTTCATGAAAATGGCAATATTAAAAGAACAAGAACTCAAAAACCAATTACAATTGGCATTGTTCCTAGCATGTTCATTTGAGCAGCAACAGCAATCACCTACAGGTAACCATGTCCTGTGCAAGTTTGAAATTTTCTTCGGGTAACAAGATGATGAACCAGGAAGGACCGAACACACAATATTTACATTTCAACATTAACCTCCAACTAATTATGATGGTCCAAGCAGAAGAACAATATGCCATTTTTTTGCATTTCAGCGGTAGTGAAGCACGTGTCCAAATTACAATGACATCTAGACTATTAGGGTCTCTTTGCCAGTTTTTTTCCGCATATTTTAACTGTTTTTGGTTGGCACTTTTTTTGAGAGGTTGGAGAAACCAATGTTTGTTAGTTTTTTGGAGCACTAACTACCCAAATCCTGTGTAGAGTAGTTTAAGTTGTATTTCTCTTATTATTTTTCTAGATTACCTCTAGCATGTTAATGAAAATGCAGCAAAATAATTGAGTTCATATCCACAAACAATTTTCTTGTGACTTGTATTTTGTTCAATGGATGAATGTCATCTTTTAAAAAGTATTTAACCAAAAGAGATTAGATGTACCTACTCATGAAAATTAGCTTCACAATTATTTTCTTTTTTCTTCAACTTATAATCTAATAGAAAACGATTGGCATGCAAGAGCTTATTCAAAGCAACAATAATTATTCCAAAGATTAGTCCATACACAATAGGAAATGATTGGGTAAACTATGTCAAGACATATTGAATTGTAAGGTGTCATATTCGATGGGTTGGACTGTTTTAAAATTTGCTACTAAAAATCACCCAAAATCAGACCTCTCATAAACACCCAAAATCTGTACTTTAAAAAATCCATAACCGGTACCCAAAACTCCCAAGCAGAGGCCCCTAAAGGAAGCATATCATCCAATTTCATTAAAAGCCAAAGCAAACCAAAAAATAAGCACAAATTATGGTATACCCAAATAAATTAATGAAAAACACTTATTTTAAGTAAATTTTCGGTCTGCCATTAGTTGTATATAACAGAAATCCTGAATGGCATTTGATTTAAGAGATACCAACCTTTTATTTAATGAAATCAGACGAAGTAAAATTTATCTAACGTTAAATCTAAAGAACCACAAGTTTTTGTGCATACTCTTGCGAGATAACAAGGAGTCCCACAAGTGAGTAGCTCTCTGAACAATATGAGAGTTCTGACTTGAACTAGACACAAGCTCATCCCAATGTTCACCTTCCAACTTCACTTTGTTTCTTAAATCGTGTAGTTTCTCAAGCTCTTGTTGTAGATACGCCTAATATCAAGAAAGACAGATAGATGCAAGAAAAGACTCACGCTTAGAAAATAATGTGAAATATTTCAATTGTCAAGCCCTCCAATAATTCAATATAATATAATCATTATTTACATCTTCAGCAGATAGACCACGAAACTCAGCTGTCATTTCATGAGCCAGATTGGACCACATGGCCTGTCTCTGAACTGCTGTCTCGGCATTTTTCAGAAATCTTCGTCTTTCTAGAGCTATTCTACCCTGTTAATAAATAAATAACAACCTGAGGTATATAAGTATGAAATTCATGTTGAACACGCTGATCAATTAAAAGAGTGAATGTACGAAAAAGAAGGCTAGTGTTTTTCTAGATTGATTCACTACCAAAACATCAAGGACCGTTATCGAAATTTGATGATTAATTCTAGCTCCTTGCACCTATTAGATCAGACTTATCCCAAGAATAAATGCTCCACCCCTCTTCGATATGTAAGATAGACAGAGAACAAATTTCGTGTACAGTATTTAAATAAATCAGTGGTGCCATTCCATTCACAACACATCACAGCATCATTAATAAGTCGGTAAGTAGGAAAAGAAAATTTGAATGAACGTTCATTTTGTTCTGTGATTGTCACTACTTAAGAAGAAAATAAGAATCAGTATCCCAGTAAGTTATTTTGTTCCAGACAGTTAAATAAATCATTACAAGAGAAAAAATTATGCTTTAATGTGAAAAATCTTCATATAATAGGTAAAAAAGGATCAACAGAGAACAGCTTTTAAATTCTCATAAACACTAACCCAAATAGTTCTCCAACTATAACAAGGAATTCTTCAGAACACAGGCCCCCCTTCATAAACTTTAATATACAGAAACTGAAGCCTCATTTAGGGTCAGTAATCAAGTTAAATGAGTGGAAGAGTTATTCAACAAAAAAGTTAGTCTGACAATCTTTTCTCCATTGCCTTTCATGGAAAAAAAGAAAGAGCGTGCAGGTCACTAACTGTCCAATAAGAGTAAAATAGTTTCTTTCTCAGTTAAGGGAAAAAAGATCAGAAGCAAAATTACCTTAGTTACAGGAAGTAATGTAGCTGCATGCGAGAAAGCTACATCTGTCAATGGAGCAGGGAGCGGGTTGTATGAGACATCAGCTGCAAATGTTCGTTTGTGAACTTCTCGCAAAGCATGCAAAGAAAGTTGCCACAGAAGTTCGACGAATCTGCATTTAGCATGCAAAATTTATCGTTGACTGGACATGTATATAAAGTGGCCATCAAACTACAACCATTGAGAGGTCCACATGCAATTATAGTTCCAGCAATATGTAAGACGGGAAAACTCATGGAAACGTGATAAAGAGAAGTGAATGGCAAAATTTTTATCCCTCCAAAGTGGAAAAATAAAACAAATTCCTTCAGAATGTCCTTCAAATAAGAATGACAAATGAAGTAAACAAACAAAATAAAAACTAATAATGAATATAATATAATCACTCTAAGACAATGCAGTAAAAGAATTGTGATGACCACCTAGTATAACATCATTGCTTGTAAAAGTGAAATAGTGATAGATACTCCCATTGAAACGGAAACAGTCCTAAGAAACATATCTAAATACGTTTTTGCCCATCGTCACATGATCCATTGTCTTAAGTGATGCAAAAAAAGGGTTTAAAATTCAGAAATGGTTGTCAAAATTCAATACTGTTTCTGAATAAGTAGAATATAGTGAAAGTACTAGCAAGAGAAATAGTAGTAGAAAACTCCATACCTGCAAAAAAACTAAAACACATCACACATCTTATAGAAACAAGCTACCAAATTTTTTACCTCGGTTTCATGTGTTTACAAATCCTACTGAGAATGTTTCCAAAAAAATTACAAGTTCTGTATTTCGTAACTATTATTGAACGGACATGTTTTCAAAGAGCTTATCCAAGTAATGGAATTCAAGTGCATTAATTATCCAATTGTGTAAGGTGGAGTAATTTAATGCTTCTTTATTCCAAAATAATCAAAACTAACTCTATATGAACTGAGTTAATATTGTCTTCACTCCTGTAATAGCAAGTTACTTAATAATGCAACTGAGGATAGCTGCCTAGGTGTATATTAAATGGTTATTTAACTAGCTCCATATATATGTTCTTGTTTTCACCAGAACTGGCAGCATGGTGACACTCCCAAAACAGAGCAAGGCTGCCAAATTTCCAAAAAGATCATGGTGCCGTTAACATTCTAGTGTAGTTCAATCAAAAACTCGGGAAAAATATATCGACTAAAGAGCTGAAAGTACATTCTGATCAACTCAAATATAAACAAAATTCCTAACACAAGGACCTTGGTCCACAGCAAGTGGCAAGTGATGAAACCCTCGAATTGCTCCTTGGCAACGCCCCTTGGGATTCAAGATCACTAATAATCCCCTGCACAACCTAAATTTTCCAATTAAAACTCAAATTTAGTTCAACCAAGTTACATATATAGCTATACATCTGAGAAATTCAATAAATCAAGACCGGAATTACCTTTCGAAAATCACGAGACTGAGCCGAATCAAAAATCGGCCACACCTTATCAAAGTCCTGTAAGATCCAAATGCCAAAAGAATTTCAATACAATGAAAATATATCAAACCCTATATAAAAATAAAAAATAAATAAATAAATAAAAATTCCAAATCTATAAAAATCGCGTCTGTACTTTGGCGGATTGAATAGGGCCACGGAGAGAGGAAAGGATGAAGTATAGAAGCTGTTCGCCTAATTTCGGATTGGAATGACGGAATAGTCCGACCCGAGGAGTCCCGTTGTTCGACCCGATTCCGATTACGGCTGGATCCAGACCAAGTAACAAGCAATTCGTGTACATCGCACTCTCCAGCTCTATCTCTCTCTCTTTCTCCCTATCCATTGTCATTAAACACACTCCCCCCTCTCGCTGTGCGTAAGATTCGGGTTGGTTTTGTTTCCTATTTGATTTGTTTTGGTATCACTTTTATGGCATACTTGTGTAATCTTTGAAATGATGACACCTTGAGGATTGTTTAAGTTGCGAAAATGCCTCTAATTTTGAATTTTGGGGTGAAACTGAGATTTTCCTAGTTAGGTGGGGCCCGGCTGGACGAATGAATCAGGAAAATTTTGAAATGCTCGGTGGGTGTGAGGGGTTGGTCTCTAATGTGTGCCGCTTCACTTATTCGTCGGCCAACATCGGGACCGGTGCTCATAGACTTTATAGTTGCCGCTGTTTGGACCATTTTTTGTATAGGGTGGATTTTAATAGAGCAAAGTTATACTTACAAAAATTATATAGAATACATATATGCAGGGGTGGTTGGGTTATTTTTTACAATATTTTAATACACGTGATCCACCATCTTGTGAGTGTATATAATCTTTCTGTGAAAAATTGTTCTGTACATCCGATTTTTTCCTTTTTAATAATAGATTGATAAAGAATGTAAGATTAAAAAATTAATCTTACTAGAAATATAGAATTTTTGGACAGAAAAATATAATAGATAACACATGACGTGACATTATTGAAAGACGAAAAACAAAGAAGAAATAGTCACTTTCATTTTGTCGCATCAGTGTCGGCATAAGTTTTGTTGATTTTTCTGTACTTATGACTTTTTTGTTAAAAAAAATATATTTGGTTTGCATATGATATTATTTTATTGAATAATGTGTGATTGAAAAGAAAACAAGGAAAAAATACTTTGAAAATAATGGGAATCAAATACTTAGTGATGCTACCAAAAATCGTACTTGAACAATTCCGAGCTGGACGACTGATGACGAGCACGATCGTGATCTTTCGGTACTTGAAACAAAGGCGTCGAGGTGTGTCCTCGTCGCTCCTCCGATGCTTAAGTCAGAGAGAGAATTTGTGCGTAAGCCTATGAACTGAAAATTATCTAAAACGTACCTGAATAATGATCAAGGGCTTTGTATTTATAGAGGTAGGTGGTGTGTTCATACTAGGATTCCGTAGTACACTTGTTATAGGACAGCTTAATTTTGCAATCTTATACCAATGAGTCCTACGCGAGATAGGAGTTTGAATTGTGGTATAACTGGGATACCAATTATTTAATAGAGTTCTTCTAGGCATAGGAGACATGGGTTAAGGAGTTTAAGTAAGAATAAATTTCTTATTGGATCAGACGTTGACGTCGGGAACATGTCGAGGACATAATCCCGAGGACACGTTGAATGACGTTCCACAAACTCTTGGGTCAAGAGCTCGGGCATGTAAAAGACATCCCGAGCATACTTGTGACGCTTCGAACTTAAGTTTCGAGTGTCACGTACTAAATATAATAACTTCTGCCTTTGGTACATGTAAATACTCTTAAATAGAAGTATTACATGTTAGAAACTTATTTTCAACTTGGTAAAATATCTCTCATAAATTTTAATGGCCCGCAAAAGCGCATATCGACAAGAAATAATACTTTACATATACGGACTCTGCACTGCCACGATTAGTTGGGGCACCAAGTTCGACTATTTTTATAAAATTCATCCCAACTCTGTTTTCTATGAAATTTACGACATTAGAAAGATATTTTCAGGTAGTTTTCTACGTTAAAATATAAAAAATTTCCAAGATCATATAATATGGGCGTTTTACTGAAAATAGTGAGGTATTGCACAGAAATTTCAGATTCGACCCTTCAACATTTAAAAATTCATATCTCCGGCTACAGATATCCAAATTGAGTGATTCTTGTGCCCATATTAAGACAACTCAATGAGAAACGCAGTAATATTTTCAGATTCTCAAATGGACATTTATGGAGTCAAAAATAACGTGTTGAAGTTGACCCAAAAACTGTCCAATTTCTGCATTTTTATCATTTGCAAGGGAAAGTAAAAACAAAAAAAAAGGTCTCTTAACATAACATGATAGTTATAATTACATAATTTACTTTCAGTATTATATTACATCATGTCTTATACATATTTTTATATAATAACAAAAGCAAAACATATGGAAAGCAGTCAAACAAAACATACAAAACAGAAACTTTGATGTAAAATAATTTTGTCCTTGATCCATCATCGATTTTGCCGTCTGACTTCCACCAACTCCACAATTATGAATCTGAGAATTTAGTATAGAATACTATGAGTATAAAGAATACTCTGTAAGATACCATGCTTGGATTTTATCGTGTTAATACTACACAAAAGAATGCAATCAAACACATACTTGCACATTCCGGCTTGCCGGTACCCTTCGAACTTGTCCTAAGGCATAAATAGATATCTAACTTTGTGGACTTGTCCACCACATTCATATTATGGTTTTTCATGCATAGCTTAAACATAAATATTACCATGAAATCATACCACTTAAGTATAGAAAATATTTTACAATAAAACTTGAAGAAATCTTGGTTGAAAATGAATTGAGAAATGCTAGGCTGGTCCTCTTCTTCCCTCACATTTTCTGCTCTTTTTTAAACAAGTGATAAGTTGTTTTTCATGCAAGAGAAATAAAGGGCAGCAACACATCTATTTATAGGTGAGAAAAATGATTAATTTTGGGTGACTCTTCAAGAAATTCAACATGTGTAGGCTGCATGGTTTCATTTTCTTAAATACAAAACACCTCATGCATTAGTTAACCACCTCATACTTAGATTAAAACATCTCATGCATATATGTTTCATCAATTTTCAGCCAAGTTGGAGAAACAATGTTTAACTTTAGTAATTAGGTGTAAAATGAACATTTATCCCAAACCCCTAATTAACAAATTATTTGGAAAAACTTTTAATAAATCAACCCATGCAAAAGTTGGCAACCATAAATAATTTTTTGGTCATACTAAATTTTGAAAAGTTAAATTGCTATTCTAAAATTTAAATGAGCACAAAATTCGGAGTATTACAATACTGATACACAAATCGACGAAATGAAGTCCTCAGGTTTGTATACGTTGGGAACAGTATTTGGTAACATCAGTGGCCCCCGTGCACCTGTGCTCGTTTATATGCATGAGGATAGATGCAAAAGATCAAAATTACAGTCTTCGGTATAATACCCCGACAATTCATTGCAGAGGAAGGATTCGTGAGGGCTGACGTCAGATGTGGTAGTGATGCCAGCCCTAATACAAAGGCGGTGTAACTTTTAGACCCTAGGATGTAGGACACGTGGCATGATCGAACGGTTCAGGATGCGACCTTTGGCCTCCTACCCATGTTTCCTTATATAAGCCTCATTTCCTATTCATTTTTTACTTTTTCACTATCAGTAAACCTTGTTGGAGTCATCGGGATAAGGTGAGTCCTCTAGACTTTAAGTTGTTTGTTTTTAAAAAGGTCTAAATTTAAGATAGGATGTCGAGCAATGATAGTAATACGTCGTCCTCGAGTTCAGGAACCCCAACCGAGGACTTAGGACAGTCAATAATACCTATGGCCATTCCCATAAGTGTTAATCCTCGAGTTCAGGATATCTCGACACCGTTAGTATACCCCGACCAACCGTGTAGGTTTAAGGAGCACTTAGTAGTGGCGACTGCTAGGGAGTTCAACCTGATGCCGAACTGTGATATTAGATCTCCCGAGGATGAGGATAGGGTAGCCATTGTTCGGGAAGGAGAGTTTGTCGTTTTGAAAGATTCTCTGAAGGGGGGATTTAGGTGGTCACTGCATCCTTTTTTCCTCGCACTTTCGACCGAACATAATATGAGTCCAGGGCAATTAGTGTCGAACGGGTGGAGAATGTTGACATATTTTTTTATTGCTTGTAGATACCTCGGGATTATCCCGTATGTCGACTTATGTAGGATGGTCTTCAACCTAAAACAACTCCTCCATTACTCTTGTTTTGCCTATCTCTCAACCCGAGGAGGGTTTAGAATCCCGAGGATGCTTGGCTCCCTGAAAGGGTGGAAGGAGAAGTGGTTTTATGCCATACCTCAAGATCCCGACGTTCCCTTTAGTCCTCCATAGGGGGTGCCCGATACTGCTAGGTTTTGTGGGGGTCAAGCGTATTTTGAGTCGTTGGAGAGGCATAGGCAAATGCTAAAGGAGCTCGAGCCCCTCGTTTATAACTTGGATGATATCCTCGAGCTTGCGAACATGAAAGGCATCGAGGGTAGGATACGTGATTTTAACACTTTAATTTCCTGACCTATATTTTTATTAATGCTCGTGCTAATAACATGTCTTTTTTTTTTTTTTTGCAGAAATGACGTTTGACCCAAGTGCCCTTCGTCAGGCAGTTAGTAAGAAGTCAAAGGTTCCTCAGGCTCGAGCTCTAGGCCAGAGGAGGGGCCAAAAGAGACCTCGGGATTCGAGGTTTGAAAAGCAGACCAGTGGGCCTGATGAATCATCAAGGCCCCGAGGACTGTCCCCGAGAGTAGGGAGGACGGGAACTCATCAACAAGATCTTCAGGGGACTCCTCGAGGGCCTGTTGACGTGGTCGACCTTGAGGATGAATGCCTGCCACTGGGCCCTGCAAATCCTGAGGGATGCTCCCGGTGTCAGTCCGTGCTCAGCATTGTTGACAAGTACCGGGCAGACGTCGATTTAAGCAATAGCTTGAGGGCTCTCGAGGCTATGGCCTTGAAGGTAAGATCGTCGACAGTTTTTATTTTTATTTTTTGCAATCTTTACTTCCCGAGGTTAAGTTGCCCGCGCTCTTTTTTCCAGACATTGGGCATAGCTCGAGGTCTTTCCTTAAAGGGGAAAGACGAGTCTTCAAAGATGGCCGACCTCGAGGGTGCCATTTCTGCTCGGGATCTGAGGATCGCCAACCTCGAGGAGGAACGTGCTTAACTGATGAGGAAGCACGAGCAGATGAGAAATGATCTTCGCAATGCTCAGGATGAGGTCGATACTGCGAAGGATGAGGCTCAAACTCGAGCTCAAGCGCACTAAAAAAAATTGGATGCAAAGCTGGCCGATGCTCGAGATGATGCGATCGAGGATTTTAAGAAGTCTGACACCTTCAATGAGTTGAAAGGCGAGTATGCTATGGGCTCATACTTTCATGCCTTGAAGGAAACTCGAGCTTTTATTCGCCTGAGGCCAGATGCTCGCCTTAAGGATATGAAGTCGATTCCTGAGGTGGCTGATGACCTTCAGCTTTCTGAGTGTGAAGAAAATGCTGGGGATGAAGACGTCGATATTGAGGGTGACGATGTCGAGGAAGGCCAAGGCAGTCAGAACACCGACGTCTAAATTTGATCAGTCCCCAAGTATTTATTTTGATTTGTAATTTTTGATGTAAAATGTCCGATCTTAATGGAAATAGTTTTTCCTTTTTACCGAGCTCATTTTGTGATATCGACGAATTTGTATTTCATCAACATATGCCGACGACTTTTGTTAATTAATTATCCCGACGATTGAGAATAATTAATTATCTCGACGACTAAGAAGATTAATTATCTCGACGACTAGGAAGATTAATTATCTCGACGATTGAGAAGAAATAATTCGATTTTAAACAAGTCATAATGCCGAGGACACTGGTGAATGTAGGATATAGTTTAACACTTGACAGTAAAAAGTATCCCGTCGTCTAAGATAAATTAATTATCTCGACGACTAAGACGATAAATTATCTCGACGATTGAGAAGAATTAATTCGATTTTAAGCATGTCATAAGGCCGAGGACAGTGATGAATGCAGGATATAGTTTAACACCTTGATGGTAAAATTATTCCGACGTCAGTATTGAATTACCTCGAGGACTAATCGCGAGGGGTGGTAACCTCAAGGTGTACGAAGAATTGTGACCGACCTCTGTACAGAAGTATATCCCGAGCTTTCACCTTGGAACGTTAGACAAAAATTCAAGGATAGATGGTCGGGGGTGTATGTCCTCGGGATGTTTACTTGTGCTGCACGATTTTGATGTGCTGATTATGGGCTCCAAGGTTTTGGTGCTTGCGCGGGGCAAGGCTTAGGTGCTTGCACGAGGCAAGGCTTAGATGCTTGCTCAGGGCAAGGCTTTGGTGCTTGCGTGGGGCAAGGCTTATATTGCTTATCGAGGACAAGGCTTAGGGCGGCTTGCTCGAGGGCAAAGCTTACATTGGCTTGTCGAGGACAAGGCCTAGGGCGGCTTGCTCGAGGGCAAGGCTTACATTGGCTTGTCGAGGATAAGGCTTAGGTAATTCCTGGATGCAAAGCAAACTATAGGGCTGTTATACCCGAGGTTTGAATTTATTAATTCCTCGGACTGGACTCGAATTTATATTGTATCCAAGCTGCCTATGTACCCAAACGGGATCAAGCCGAACGTAGTTCATTACAAAAGAAAACGAAAAACATGCATGGGCATGCAGGCCCGTCAAACTAGAAATAAAATGCAATGGCACGCAGGCCCGAAGAACCAAAAATAACATTCAGAAGAACTAAAAATGCAGGAATAAAAAGAAAATCTCCTAGATGGCATCGAGAATGTTACTTGTAATATATTTTCAGATAATCGGCATTCCAGGGCCTTGGAAGGGGTCTACCCGAAGTGTCTCTTAGGCTGTATGCTCCTTTGTGAACTTGTCGTATGACCTTAAAGGGTCCTTCCCAAATGGGCCCGAGCTTCCCTGGGGGGTGACCTGCTGCTTCGGCCCTCCTCAAGACCAAGTCGCCAGCTCTGAACCTCCGAGTCTTGACTTTGTTATTAAAATATTTTGCTGTCTTAGTTTGGTAAGAGGCCACCTTTATAGCGGCTTGCTCCCGTACTTCTTCTAAGAGATCAATGTGTTCAGTTGTATGCCCGGAGGTTTCTGGTTCGAGCCTTCTATGGTTTGGCAGTCTAATTTACATCGGGACCATTGCTTCAATGCCATAGGCTAACATAAAAGGGGTTTCTCTTGTGGTTGTCCTATGAGTTGTTCTATACGTCCATAGTATAGAAGGCAGCTCGTCGGACCAAGAATCCCTAGCATTACCTATTCTTGTTCAGAGGTCTTGTAATATGATTCGATTTGTCACCTCGGCCAGACCATTGCTCTGAGGATGCGAAACTAAAGTCAGACGGTGATCAATCCCAAGGTTTGAGCAAAAGTCCCTAAACTATTGATTGTCAAATTGCCTGCCATTATCGGTGATGAGGACCTTTGGTATCCCTAACCTGCAAATGATAGACCTCCAAGTGAAGGCTCTTAGCTTGGGCTCCGATATCGTTGCGAGAGGTTCGGCCTCTGCCTATTTAGTGAAATACTCTATTGCTATAGCAAAAAACTTTAATTGACCTCTTGCCACAGGAAAGAGCCCGAGGATGTCAATTCCCCATTGTTCAAACGAGGCCGAACAGTTAATGTTGGTGAGGTCTTCGGCCGATGAATGGATAACATTGCCAAACCTCTGGCACCTATCACATCTCTTAACATATTCTGAGGCGTCTTTCTTCATAGTTGGTCAATAGTACCCATATCGTATGAGTTTAAAGGCCAGGGCCCTGGCTCCTTGATGATTCCTGCACACACCTTCATGAACTTCAGCAAGGGCTTGGGATGATTCTGATGGTCTAAGGCACCTTAGGTACGGAAGAGTAATACTTCTGTGAAAGAGGACACCGCTAATCATGCAGTACCTAGTAGCTCGAGCTCGGATGCTTCTAGCCGACCTGGCATCACTTGGTAAATTTCCACTTATGATGAATTCTATGATTGGGTCCATCCAAGACGGTTCGTTGTCAATGTCCATGACGTCGGGGACTTGATTGATGCTGAGTTCTGTGATGACTTTGATGTGAACTGTTCTGTCCAGGCTGTCAACCCCCATGAACACAAGCTTGGATAATGCGTCGACTTTTCCGTTGTCCTTTCGAGCAATTTTTGCAATTTCACAACTCTTGAATTTTTATTGAAGATCATGAACTTTCATGTAGTACAAACTCATTTTTTCGTCTTTCCTTTCAAATGATCCTTCAATCTGTCCGACCACCAGTTGTGAATCGCTGAATACTTTCACGAACTCGAGCTCAAGGCTAAGGGCTAGCTCCAGAGCAATAACGACGGCCTCATACTCGTCCTTGTTATTGGTTGCTTCAAACTCGAACCTAAGAGCGCATTGAATCTCTGTATGTTTGTCAGGGTTGATGATGATGACCCCTGCACCCGAGCCCGAGGAGTTCGATGCTCCATCGACAAAAATTTGCCAAGTGTCCAAATTAGTGCTCATGCTCGAGCCGTCACCTGGCCCTCGAGGCTTAGGGGTTAGTTCTGCAATGAAGTCGGCTAGTGTTTGGGCTTTGATAGATGGGCGTGGTTTGAATTCGATGTCAAATTCTCCAAGCTCGATCGCCCATTTTATCAGTCTTCCTGAGACGTCCGACTTCTGAAGTATATGCCTAAGTGGTTGATTAGTGAGCACCACACAATAGGGTGAGACTGAAAATACTGCCGGAGTTTCCGTGCTACTATCACCAAGGCAAGGGGAAGTTGTTCCGCCAAAGTATACCTTGTTTCTGCATCTAGCAGGACCTTGCTCACATAGTAGATAGGTTGTTGGACTCTGTTAACCTCTTTCACCAAGACCCCGCTGACCGCGTTTTGAGATACGACCAAGTACAAAAATAAGGTGTCACCAGGCTCAGGCCTTGTGAGAATAGGAGGGGATGCCAATGTTTGCTTGAGCTCCTGAAAAGCTTTCTCACAGTCTTTACTCCAATCAAAGCCTTGGTTTCCTCTAAGGACTTTGAAGAAGGGATAGCACCTGTCTGATGCTCGGGACATGAACCTGTTCAAGGCTGCTATCCTACCAGTCAACCTCTGTACCTCTTTCTTGTTCCTTGGTGATTCTATAGATGCCAAGGCTTGTATTTTGTCAAGGTTAGCCTCTATCCCCCCGGTGAGTGATCATAAAGCCCAAGAACTTGCCCGAGGCTACGCCAAATGCACATTTTGCTAGGTTCAACTTCATTCTGTACTTTCGCAAGGTGTCGAAAACCTCTTTAAGATCCGAAATATGTTGGTCCACCCATTTTCTCTTGACCACCATGTCATCAACGTATGCCTCCACATTCCTTTCCTATCAAGTTAGCAAAGACTTTGTTGATGAGCCTTTGGTATGTTGTCCCTGCATTCTTCAAACCAAAAGGCATGACCTTATAACAGTATATGGCAGAATCGACCATGAATGACGTCTTTTTTTGATCTTCCTCAGCCATGAGGATTTGATGATAACCAGAAAATGCATCTAAGAAGCTGTATAGCTTATGTCCAGATGTGCTATCCACCAAGTTGTTAATCCGCGGTAGGGGATAACTATCCTTTGGACATGCTTTGTTAAGATCTATGAAGTCAATGCAGACCCTCCACTTACCATTGACCTTCTTAACTAAAACAACATTGGCAAACCAATCGGGATATTGGACCTCCCGAATGAATTGAGCACTGACGAGTTGGTTAATTTCTTTGCGAATGACCTCCCGACATTCTGGGGCAAACTGTCTTTTCCTCTGCTTTACTGGTCTAGCCTTTGGGCTAATATTAAGCCTGTGGACTGCAATTTTGGGGTTTATCCCTGGCATATCCTCAACCTTCCAGGCAAAAATGTCAATGTTGCTAGATAAGCAACCAATAAGTTCTGTCTTTAAGGTGACGTCAAGATCCCGACCAATCGTCACCTTCTTATCATGCTCGAGCTCGATTTTTGTCAATTCTTCGACATGAGCAAGTCTAACTTGTTGCCCGATCTCGGGCTCTATCCTCGAGATTTGCATGACGTCGTTATTTATTTTCCAAACGCTGGCAACATAGCATTGTCTGGCAGCTGCTTGGTCTCCACGCATGACCCTAACGCCATTATTTGTTGGAAACTTCATGGCTAGGTGGAAGGTAGACACAATGGCTTTGATTTTGTTCAGGAGTGGTCTTCCTAGGATAGCGTTATAGGTCATTGGACACGTACCACTTGAAAAGATGTCATCTCCGTAACCTGTTTCTGGCCAGAACCCAAAGTTAGAGGAAGCTCGACGACACCCTCTGGAGTGATGACTCCTCCCCCAAACCCCTGGAGATGAGTTTTAACCGCTTTGAGCTGCTGAGATGAGATTCCCATTTTGGCAAAAGCCTCTTGTGAAAGTATATTGGCCGCACTCCCGTTGTCAACCAAGATTCTCTTTACTTCAAAATTGGCCACAATCGCTGAGATGACCAAGGCATCATCATGTGGAAGTGATATACCTTCCAAGTCCCTGGTTCCAAAAATAACATCCTCTAGCTTTCCGTGAGGCATCCCAGAGGCCAAGGTATATTGTCGGGCATATTGTTTTCTTCCACTGTTCGAGTCTCCTCCCGAGGCAATACCCCCAATGATGATATTGATGGTTCCAGCAGTGGGTTGACCATCCCTTTTTGTTTCAGGGGCTCTTTCCCTACCACAATCGTTCCTCGGGCGTTTGTCGTTACCGACGGGAACTCAGGAGTCCTCTTTTAATAAGGGCTTCAATCTCCCACTACAGGGCCTTACAGTTTTCCGTGATATGCCCATGATCTCGATGGAACTCACAATACGTGTTCATGTCCCTGGATTCGGGTGGTGACCTCATTCTGGCAGGCCATTTGAGTTCCTTCATATCCTTGATCTCCATCAATATATTTGTTTTTGACGTATTTAAATGCGTGAATGACGTCAGGGGAACCTCCTGTCTCTGTTTTCTTCGAGGTGGTTCTTGACGGGGGGTCGGGTCGTGTCGTTTATGCTCGACCCTATCATGTGATGGTCCAACCTTTCTCGGGTTCAGTGTTTCCTTCATATTTATGTACTTCTCGGGTCGAGTAAGAAGCTCGGTCACTATCTTTGGCGGAGTTTTGGATAACGACATCTTGAAAGCCTCACACTTTATGGCATATGTGAGGGCAGAAACTGTTGCAGTTATATGTAGGTCGAGAATCTGAAGTCTTTCCTTGTTGAACCTGGTCATGTAGTCACGTAGGGTCTCATTTTGCCCTTGTCTAAGTTGCATGAGGGAAGCCGCTGTCTTCCTAATGCGTTTACTGCTTGAGAAGAAAGCAGAGAACTTGTCCGCCAAATCCGAGAATGAGGCTATGGAGTTGGGCTCTAAGGTCGAGAACCAATCCGTAGTAGCATTCGTCAAAGTTTGCGGGAAAGCCTTGCACATACTTGATCCGGTGCGACCTGTAGATTCATGACGTCCGTGTATACGTTAAGATGATTGATTGGATCGGTGGTCCCGTCATACTCTTTGATCCTAGGATACTTAAATCTGTCTGGCAAGGGGAATGTTAGTAACTCGGGAGTAAAAGGAGTGTTGGGACTAAATCTTGTTGACCCTTTGTTGCCCTGAAGTAGGCCCATCGTAATTCCTTCTTGAATAATCCTAGCGAGTTCTCTGGACTCCATGGTCACTGATCTCGAGGCCGAGGTCACATGTGGTATACCCGAGGCCCCTGCTCCGCCATTGTCAGGGACATGTCGCTGAGCTCGAGCTCGAGCATCAGCCATAAATCCCCTTGGGGTGCCGGTGTGGGTGACAGATGCGAATTCCTTTGACTTAACAGCTGAGTCAGTGTGGCGACCTGTTGTCTGAGCTCTTCAAAGGCTCCGGTAGTGACGACTGTCGGCTGGGGCTCTGGCACTTCTGATGATTCCTCTTGAGGAACAAGGATATCCTCAAGAGGAGGTTAGTTTGGAGTGGATGAGCTTGCTGGTGGAAGACCTGAACGTGTGTTTACCATGGCTTTTGGTAGCGCTTCCTACAGACGGCGCCAATGATGCTACCAAAAATCGTACCTGAGCAATTTCGAGCTGGACGACTGATGACGAGCACGAACGTGATCTTTCGGTACCTGAAACAAAGGCGTCGAGGTGTGTCCTCGTCGCCCCTCCGATGCTTAAGTCAGAGAGAGAATTTGTGCGTAAGGCTATGAACTGAAAATTATCTAAAACGTACCTGAATAATGATCAAGGGCTTTGTATTTATAGAGGTAGGTGGTGTGTTCATACTAGGATTCTGTAGTGCACTTGCTATAAGACAGCTTGATTTTGCAATCTTATACCAATGAGTCCTACGCGAGATAGGAGTTTGAATTGTGGTATAATTGGGATACCAATTATTTAATAGAGTTATTCTGGGCATAGGAGACATGGGTTGAGGAGTTTAAGTCAGAATAAATTTCTTATTGGATAAGGCGTTGACGTCGGGAACATGTCGAGGACATAATCCCGAGGACACGTCGAATGACGTTCCACAAACTCTTGGGTCAAGAGCTCGGGCATGTGAAAGACATCCCGAGCACATATATCCCGAGCATACTGATACACAATTTGACGAAATGAAGTCCTCGGGTTTGTATACGTCGGGAACAGTATTTGGTAACATCACTTAGTATCTATTTGTTTAAAACTTGGGTGTGTTTGATTACATTTATTTTCCATGAAAAATATCAGTTTTCCACACAAATTCCTACTTAGAATGGTTGATTGCTATTTTTTTCCATGAAAACATTTTCCAACTTTTGAAAATATACCTAATTTTCCTTGTTTTTAAGGAAAACATTTTTCTTGAATAGAGGTGGTTTTTATTTTCCACAAAAGATGGAAAACATTTTCTTTTCTAGGTGATATTTTTCATGCCAATCAAACACACTCTTATTTCTTTTCAAATTCTTTTGTGAAAAGTAATTTTTTTTTTTAAATGTATGAGTAAAAAGTAAAAGTAAAAAAATTATGATTTTACATGTAAAATTATATTATTGAGATAATGTATATTTGAAAATAAATTTGAGAAAAATGAGTTTCACAAAATTTGTATCAAAAGAGACTTGAATTGTGAAAAGTTTTATTTTCGTTCACTCATGTACAAGAGGAAGCATCTTATATTGTGGATATGGTAAAATTATAGAATAATTCTTTTACGAGCAGCATAGTGTACGAGGCTATTCATTAATCAACTAAACTAGCTCACTTATCACTCCAACAATAACATGATTGTCTCGTGGATGTATATTTTATGTTCAGGATTTGACGATTTGTTATTATAACCATTTGCACAATGTTTACTATTTGAACCACACTTTTTTGTTCACGATGCCCTTGTTTGAGCTCCATTTTTTGGGATAGAATGAATTTTTGAATAGTGTATTGATGAGAAATGTGTAGTTAAAAAATAAGGAAAATTTTTGGATTTACGTATAATATTATTTTATTGAAAAATGTGTAGTTGAAATGATGTCGAAACACTGTTGAAAAATGAATTTTTGTAAAAGAATGAGGCTCAAACAAGGGCGATAGCTTGCGAGTGTCCCCCAAAAAAAAGATGTACTCAACCAAGCTGAAGGGGAGAGAGGTAGCCTACTCAATCTCTTTCGATTAATAAGCCTGATAATCAATTTACTCGTAATCCTTAAGGGAAATTTTCATAATTATAATAGTTTAAGAATTAAATTTTAGAATTAACAAACTTGAAATTTTTTTTCAAAAATCATATGTGACCTCTCTACAAGTGTTGTGACATATAACTTGAAATTAAATACGTTACAGTCACGTGTTAGTCAACTCATAAATAATGGTCACATACTAAATTATAAATTACACAAGGTCATAATCACGTATCAAACGATTTAGGATCACATTCACATATTAAGATACATATTATACAATTAATAGGTCGTAAATCATTTATTAGTCACGAATTATACAATTAACCGATCGTAGTCACCAATTTTGTAACTATGTTATGTTATCTGGTCAGATTCTTCTAATCCTACCCATCCCTTCTATCACAGTAACCTTAAGAGGTATAGTCATCGGACATCCACCACTAACTCCGTTGATCCATTCCAACCTTCCACCACCGCCTTCTCTAACCTCATCCTATATAGCTTCCACCATCGCCACCTTGCCATGATTCACTGTCCTTCCAACCCATCCTTCAACGCCCTCGTCTCCATGCCATCATTACTTTTAATTGACTTTACCTCAACTAGCTATAAAACAGCTCCAAAGGTTACCTCATCCTAAATCGCCTTCATCATGCCTCGCCATTGTACACGACCTTTGCACCCCATTCTTCAGTGTTGTTGTCAAAGATTGAGAGGAGTGGTTTCTGCTGGAGGGATCCAACAATGAATTGCTCCATATATAGACAAGTTGGGTGTGTATGGTAAGTGGGGTATATATACGTATTTAAAAAAAAAATTATCACTTGATTATTGAAAAACAAAATTAATTAGTATATGATTTTTAAGTGAAAACTTGAAATGTTGGGTTTAAGGTAATTTTCTCAATTCTCAATCCATTGGACCACGCCCAATTCCATCTCTAATTCAATGCTCCAAATTACAATTTCCAAAATTCAGTTGAAACCCAAAAAATCTCGCCCCAGCATGGCCTAGTGTTAGCTACCATATTCGACTACCTTAAGCCATACATTCAAGATTCGACTAGTGGTTAACACTAATGATGCATCTACCAAAGCATTGGCAAGCCTTAACCATCAGCAGAGAAATTTTTAGCTATGTAATAATTTAGTAATTTTTTATTCCCAATCCACATCCATGTTAATCAAATATAGGACACGTTCGACAGTGATTAAAATAATTGAATTTTTGACCGCTTGAGAGTGAGTGAAAAAGTCAAAAACTCTCTTTTTAACTATACCAAAAACTCCGGTTGCCATTATAAACTCCGGTCACTTCGAGTTCGACCGCACCCTCGCCAACTACAACATCCAGAAGGACTCCAATTCATACTGTTTGTTTCCCCCTTTTCTTGCCCTAAACAGTATGGATTTAGGGGTTTAGTGAAATTAATAAATTGACCATTTTACTTCTCGCTTGGATCTAGGAGTTTAGTGAAATTAATCATTTTACTCCTTTTTTCTTGTCATTTTAGTTAAACTTTTAATTTATGGGTTGACTAATGGATTAATGGATGGATTCTGTTCGACAAACTTTGGTTGCAGTCGAAGTGAAAGATTTGGGACTGATACCATAAAAACAAAAGATTTAGGTGTAGTCTGTAGCAAATTGAAAGGTTTGGGAGCTCCACAGCAATTTTCCCAAAAATATACGAGAACCCGAGAGAAAAATGAGGAATTAGTGGCCAACAGCCGGTTGACCCGGCCAGTTTTCCAAAGAGGCCTTTGACCAATTAAAAAAAAAAAAAAAGCAAAATGTTTAAAATATTGAAAATCAAGAGAAATCCAAATTTACCCTTACTATTTAAAGAAGAAAGAGAAGATAGTAAGGAAAGAGAAAAAATACTGTAGCACTGATAAAAAGGGAAAAATAGACGACCCATATTTAAAGTTTTTATGTTGATTTTTGGAAAAAAAAACATGATTTTATATACATGTGTTGATTTTTGGAAAAATACATGATTTTTGGGTAAGGATAATAGTTTGGGAAGAGGAAAATGGAGTAGAGATCGTCGAAAATGGAGTTTTCCGACGATCTCCACAAAGGAGACGTAAGCCCAGCTGACTAGACCGATTAGGCATGCCCAGATGACCCAGACTCACCCAGACGGCCCAGTTGACTGGGTCGTCTGGGCCGTCTGGGCGCCAGTTGACTGGGCCGCCTGGGTCAACTGGGCCGTCTGGGCGCCCAGCCGTCTGGGTCGACTGGGCCAGTCAACCCAGACGACCCAGTCAACTGGGTCGCCTCGACCGCCTGGGCGCCCAGTTGACTGGGCTGCCTGGCGCCCAGACAGCCCAGTCATCTGGGCCGACGCCAGAGGCTCAAATTTTTTTTTAAATTGCTTATTTATTTATTTCCTTTAATTTTTTAAGTTAACTATTTATTTTAATTCTTATATTGTGTTGTCTAATATTTAATTATTATTTGAATTGTTTAATTTTAATGTATATTATGTATTTAAAATTATTTCTTTGAAATGCTTAATATAAATGTTTTATTATTTATCTAAATATTTATTATTTTTCAATTTAGTTTTAATTACTTATTTTATGTTAAGTACTAGTAAAAAAATTAAAAGATATAATTAAATATTAAATAAGTAATATACATAAAGAACTTAAATAAATATTTAAACATCTGTAAAATAATAAATAAGTAATTAAATTAGAAAATTAAAATATCAATCAAATTAAATTTCTGCAAATCAATTAAAATAAATTTGTAAATATTAAATAAGCAATATGCATAAAGAATTAAAAAAAGTATTTAAACATTAATTAAAAATAATTAATTAAATTAAGTGTTAGTAAAATAATTAAAATGAGCAATTAAAATATTAAATAAATGATGAAAATAAGTGTTAGTAAAAAAATTAAACGAAATAATTAAATATTAAATAAGTAATATACATAAAGAATTTGAATAAATAGTTAAACATTCATAAAATAATAAAAATAAGCAATTAAATTAGAAAATTAAAATATCAATCAAATTAATTATTTGCAAAGCATTTAAATAAATATCAATAAAGAATTTAAATAAATATTTAATCATTTTTTTTATTTTTTAATTGAATTTAATTGTTTATAAATATTTCATGAATTATGTAAATTGTTTATTTTAGTAAAATAATTAATTGTTTTTTATTTCATTTTATTTAAAATATAAATAATGAAATAAATATAATAAACAATTGAATATTCAATAAACAATT